ACTGAAACACGGCTTTGCAGTTCCCTTGGATTGAAGAGGCCAGATTTTGTCCTCACGTACAAACATGTAATCTCACTGAAGTACTGTCAAGTGGTGCATTTTAATTCAAAGACTAGATTTATGCCTAATTTCTTATCAACTTCATCTGTATAACAATTCATTTGTTTATTTCTAAGTTTGGGGGGGGGTTTATTTGCTCTTTTAGTACAGCAACAATTGTTTTGGATGAATTTAGAGAAGGCCAGCCCCATGTGTTTTGAATAAATGATACATTACAGGGAAGGGATGTTTACACTTCTGCACAACAGAATATAATTGATTTTGTGCTTGGATAATTAGGAAATGGTTCTCTTTGATGTATTCGAGAGTCCTGAATTAAAAATTTAAAATTTGCTAGCTGTTAGAAAAATTGATTCAGAAACAGCTTTAATGGATGAAAAGCCAGTATGTTATTGCAAATATGGTCTCAAATCTAATAATGTGCTAATGCAGAGTAGTCATACGTCTAGGATACTTGGCTGTCTTAATATCCTTGGCCATTTTAATTCTGAAATCACTACACTAATACGGATAGTTTAGAAAAAACCTGCACATTTTGAAACAAAATGTATTAAAAATATATCTTTCAAAGATTTTGACAGGTAGATGTAATTATATGTGAAGGGAAATATGTCAGGTGAGGGAACAGAAAAATCTTAGGTGTGCAAGATGTATGGAAAATGTAAAAAACCAAATTCTGCACTGCTATGAATTAGACTGGTTTTTTTTTTAGTATTCAAATTCACACCCTATGCAGCATTTCAAATATTTGTGAGTATAAATAAATTAAATAAATAGTTGCAACTAAGATCATAACTTTACTAGTTACTTTACTAATTACTAGATTTTTTTTATTGTTTCATAATTTTGAAAGGTGCTGGGCAGCAGTTTAAAATCCTTAATTTTGTCAGTTGAAAATCAAGCTGCCGGTTGTCTGTCTGTTCTAATAGACACATTTTGTGCTCAGCCTTTTCATCACTCTTGTAGACAGGATTACTCAAATAATCCAGCCATCTAGATACTCTGACACTGTGTGCTCCTCGCTGTTCTTGGATGCTGAAAGCATAATAAGGATTACAGGGGTGGCAGATGGGCTGCATTGATTTATAGCGATACTGCCCTGCCAGTGTTTGCAATCTCATTGTGAGTGTTGCAACAGTCGATGCACATCTTCAACCCTGATCTCCCAGAGCTGTGAGAAAACTTGCCTGGTTTATGGATTTCTTTATGGAAACGATATGGCAGTTCACCATTAGCCCCTGCCATTATTTTAGTAAAGAATGACCATTTCTGGCTTTCTGAGTTGTGCAAAGAGAGGGCTGGTGTAGCCCAGCCATACAACGAATGTTAAATAAGTAAATGAAGAGGACAACTCCCGTTTACTTTTTGCATCACTGACCTTCTAATCGGGAATGTTTTGCGCGGGATAGAGCTAACTTTGGCTGACGCAGGCTAATTCCCTGGGCGCTCAATGGAGATTGAGAGCTTCATTCAGCTGCTTTGAGTCATCTCAGAGACCCCCCGTGAGCAGGCGGGGGCTGCGCGTTGGTAACCTGAGGACGAGCTGGGGTGGGAGGTGTGTGTGTGTGTGTGTGTGTGTGTGTATCAGTGGTCAGCAGCCCCCACAAAATGCCTTCGCCGAGTGCTATCTTCACTTTGTGTTTGCAGTTTCCAGTAGTTTAGTAAACCTGTAGCGGGAATATTTGCAAAATAATGTTATCAAGTTCATAAATATTATGATTGGAGAAAAGAAAGAGGGAAAGAAATCGTCAAAGCTGTGCGCGCCGCTCCTGTGTGTCTCTTAACGTCCTGTATTTCAAGATAGACCAGAAATGCTCAAATTTGGGTGTTACTCTAAAAGGTGCTTTTATACACATCTTTTCTTTCAACCTCCCATCTGCGTATCTGCTTTTCCCACTGACCCATGAACATGACCTTCCTTCTTCGCCTTGATTAGATGATAACATATTCTGTTTCTGCTGTGGGAGGATAAAGCCTGCAACCCGAAACACCCTGAAATCTGGAAATTCATAACAGACAGCTGGATTTCGAAGCTGTGGCCATTCCCAGACCTAGTGGTGCATGGGAGCGACCCTCCTCACTAATCCTGTCCCTCTGCGTGTGGCTTGGAGCCTGCGGCTTCTCCTTATGGCATTTGTTTTTCTGCAGGTAAGGTGGATCCCTGCAGCTCCCCGGTTTTCCCCGCTGCTGTCCTGCACTCCAGGGAGGAGGCTGGTAGGCACAGGGAGCAGAAGGCTGCCCTGCTCCACAGAAGGGAAAAAAGCTGTCGGCCTGAGCTGGCCAGAGGCAGCCATGCAGGGCGTCTCTGCCCTTGCCTTCTCCGTGCCCAGCTGGAGAGCCCAGAACTGATTGCAGAGCTGGGGAGCCCAGCCCGGGGGTGCTCTGGCAGGGCACTACTTATGCGCTGGGGGGGGGTGATCTTAGAGACAGCGCTCCAAAGTTGGTGAAAGGAGGCTAAGAGCTTGTGGTGGTGTCGAGTGAGAGGGTTTGACTGGAGAGAGGAGCCCATGCCCATGTCCAGCAGGTAGCCACCGGAGCTGGGAAGCGGGTGCAGCTGTCTGGATGTGCGCGCTGCTGCTGCGTAGGCTTGCAGCGTGGTGGGATTAGATTGCTGGGAACAGGAGTCATCTGCGGCTCCTGAGCCTGAAAACATCATATGCTGGCTTCTGGCTTTTCTTTTTATTTTAAGACCACCAGGCAATTCTTATTTGCATGCTCTATAAAACTTTTAAAAAGAGTTTTACAGTTTACTTAGCGTACAAAAGGTATAACCAGCTGTAAAATGAAACAATGGTCAGGGCTGTGGCGAGTCCCACGCAGCAGATCACAAGCCAGGAGGCTCCAGATGCTGGTGGCACCGTACAGCCTGGGCACAGGGTCGTGCCGCGTGCCCTGGCGGTGGTGACAGTGTGTGTGACAGTGTGGGATCCTCTGCTCGCTGAGCCCCTCGCTCAAAATCTTCCTTGGAAGCTTTTGTGGGTCCTCAGCATCTCATGGGCTGAGGTTTCTGAGAGCCTCCGTGTTGTTTTCACTTTGCTCACACCCTGACTCTCATCCGTAATGAAATTTACGCGCTGCAAGTGCAAGTCCAAGAGAGTAAGCGATGGAAACCACGGGGGAAAACAAAAGGCACCCCATCTCTGAAGGGCGCTGGTGTCAGCCTGTGCTGGCAGGGAGTCTCGTCACTACGTAACGATGCACTTATCCCAACGGCGGTTTGTGTTTTGGGAGACAGATGTGCCTTGCAGTTGCTAGTGGAAGTTAAAACGTTAAATATGAAACCCATTCATTTTCTCTTAGTCATACTTTGGATTTAAGCAGATGTTTTGCTAATTTGTGGTTTTCAAATGTAGCATGCTGACAAGACATTTATCATTAACTACAACTTCATCCATGCAGTTTAGCAAATTGGCCAATTATTAACAGTGAGGGTTGCGTGGCGGTTGATGCATAGCTCCTGCTGCTTTGAAAGGCCTAAATTGAAACTCAATACATTTTTACAATATAAATTAATTGAGCTTTGGACCACATCCCTGTTATTCGAGTGCTCTCCGCTCTCATTTGCAGAACGAACAGCCATTTGTAAGGCGCTGAGGAGCTGTAGTGAGTTGTAGTGAGTAGTTGTGCCGTCTGTGAGCAGAGGCCTCTGGTGGTGGAAAAAGTGATGGCTGACATTTTTCTGGTAGGGGCATGAAAATGGCTGCTGCCCAGCATAGGCAGCGTGGGGTACGGGAGGGTGTACGTAGACACGGGCCAGGCTGGCTCTGCCACAGATGATGCAGGAGGCATCCTGGAAGGGTGCAGGGCAGGCAGTGAAAGCAGGGTGGGAGCAGCTGCAGGGAAGCTAGCACTGCCTGCTGCTTTCCATTGTAACACTTCTTTTGCTTTTAACTTTTCTATGCTTTACCCATTCTGATTTGCTTATTCCTGCTTTAAGTTTGCAGGGTTTGATGGGGTGGGTAGAAGAAGGGTTGACGGTGGTGCTGTGAACTGGTGAGGTGTCCCAGAGGTGCTTCCCGAAGCCAGGGACCACCACCATATGCCTAAAAGTATCACCTCTTATTTTCCCAGCTCTGGAATTCAAGCAGGCAATTTAGTCATCATCTATTCATCCCGTGTACGAGACTTGAAGGAGAACACTTTAATGCACCTTTAATTTGTACAAAGTATAAAGATCTTGATTTTCACCAGCTGGCACTGCAGAAATTTTGCCTTATGTTCCAGCTGAACTGGCAAAATTCTTCAGGACAGTTTGTTCATAGTTGCTCCAGCTTCTGGCAAATCATTTGCTTATTTTCCTCCCCTATATTTGCATCTGCACAACAGGGAAACTATAACTTCTACAGAACAGGCTGCCATGCAGATTAATTAAATGAGAACTGTAAATAGCTAAAATAAATACATGCGGTGTATTTAATCTTGCTTTATGCAGCCAGGTGTGCTGGGTGTGAAGTACCGACAGGGCTGGCTTTGCAGTCCCACTTGATGTACTTTCTTTCACATCTCCCTCCTCTGTGGAGAGGGCAGTAATGGTCAGGAGAATTGATGTCCCAGCAGGGAGGCCAGAGGTTGCACAAGAGCAGAGGAGAAAAAATGTAGGTTTGGGGATGGTGTGGGAGAGCTTGTGCTGCCTCTGTTCCTGGTCTGCATTAGAGGCATGAGTCCTATGGGTACTTAAAAAGAGCTGAAGGCCTGGTTCAGAGGGTGGGTGAGGGATGCAATGGGGGTTTTGAAGAGAGATCTTTGGCATGGTTGTCTCCCTAGCAGCTTTCTGATTGAAAGGGATGTTGAAGAGAAGATAACGGGTGATATCTGCCTTGTCAGACCACCACCTCAGGTTCCCTGAGTGTAGATAAGCTGAGTCTCCAGGAGCGGTGGTGTATCCTGTGCCAGGTAGGCTTCGGGTGAATTCGGCTAACCGGGATCCTCACTTTTTGCAGCGCTGCCAAGCTCCTGGAGAAAAGTCCGTTCTCCGTCGGCGCCCCGAGCCCCCTGCTCCCCTCGCCGGCCAGCCTGCAGCTGGCGCAGCTCCAGGCGCAGCTCACCCTCCACCGGCTGAAGTTGGCTCAGACCGCCGTCACCAACAACCCAGCCGCCGCCACTGTCCTCAACCAGGTGCTCTCCAAAGTGGCCATGTCCCAGCCCCTCTTCAACCAGCTGAGGCACCCCACCGTGATGAATGCCCCCCCTCAGGGCCACGCCGCAGGGCCGCCCCAGGGACCCGGCATCGCCGGCGCGAGGTTCCCCTCTGGCGGCATTGCCTTTCCTGCCCAGAGCCCGGCATTAGCCGCGCCGGGGGGCAGCCTGGGGCCCGTGCAGGCCCAGGCCCCCAACGCCATCGTCATGAGTCCCTTTGGGGGCGTCATGGCTCCCACCTCCGGCCAGCAGCCCATGGTGGTGGGTCTCAACAAGGCGGGCACCTCCACTTCTGCCACCACCACGGGGGGCTTCTATGACTACAACAAGCAAAACGCCGCCAATGCCGCCCCTCAGGCGTACGCCTCAGAGGGGGACCAGCCCGGCCAGCATGGCTTCCTCGCCGGCGGGGCTCACGCTGCCTCCTCGGCGGTGGGGCCACGCTTTGAGGGTCACTTTGGGGCTCCTGGCCAGCTGCAGCACGAGGCGGCAGCGGCCACCTTCCCCAAGGAGGCCTACGGGGCGGCGGTGGCGGCCCAGCACGGGGCAGCACGGGCCTTCCCCGGCGACCCGAACGCCGGCTCCCACCCGAAAGGAGATCCCGTCCTGCATGGCAGCGGTACAAGCAACAGTTGGGAAAATATCCCTAATTTCCCCAGCCAAAACAAGCCTGACCTTGTGCCCGGCGACAGCCTGTGGCCGTCAGCGAGTCAGCAGCAGTATGAAATAAGAAACGAGCTCTACAACCCCGAAGAGCCGACACCTGACACAAAGTTCAGCGCCGCCGCTCCCCCCGCCTTCGGCCGCCTCAACCACAGCAAGCAGAGCTTCGGCAGCCCTCGCATGAGGCAGAAGGAGGAGCGGAGCAGCGGTGGTGGCGGCGGTGCCCCCGACCTGCCCGCCCGCTCCCTGCCGCCCCACCAGCTGGGCGACCTCCGCGGCGTAGCCCCCCTCCACTTCCCCCACGTCTGCGCCCTCTGCGACAAGAAGATCTTCGATCTGAAGGTGAGTGGTTTTAAGGCGCCTTCCTGGGCACGGTTGGGACGCATGAACGGGATGCCTGGTGGTTGATCTGGCTGCTGGCTCTTGCCACCCCATTGCCAAGGAGGTGGCCCAGGAGAAGCAGAGATGAAGGGGCTGTAGTTTTGCTTAGGGCGCTGTACGTCTGTGTCGTGGCGATTCCTGGGGTTTCAGGACCTGGTTTGGTTCCACATCTCACGATGAGAAATGTGAGGTCCGGGCTGGGGTCGCGGCTCATGTCCTGGGCCCAAAACGAGGGGAGGAGGAGCTTGAAGCTGATCCCCGGCTCCTCGAGCCGGTGTCGTAACCCCACATCTGTGGTTTCATCTGCCTCTCCCTTTCTCTTCGCGTTTCTGATCCCAAAGGCTTTCCCCAAACAGCCCTGTGGAAGCAGCTTGCTTAAACAAAACAGAGCATTTGGATAAAATGATTTTAATCATTCCTCTGTTGGGATCTCTTCCTCCTTCTAGTAGCTGTAGGGAAAATTTAGGACTCAGGGTCCCCCTGCGATGTTGGCCTTGAAGCAAGGAGCTGCCCAGCACGTGTGGTGCAGACCAGGCTCCCACTTCTCTGTTCGTACTGCCAAGGGAGCTCCAAATTCAACCTCACCCTGGAGAAACAGCTTCCCAGTTGCCTGGAGAGCCTGTGTGCTAAGTCACGTTATATAGGTCAGGTCTGGAGAAGTCCATTGACGTGGCCCTCTGAGCCCCACAGCCATTCATGGGCTCTGGCTGGCGTTGCTCTGGCCTCCTGGTGAGCCCTGCTCAACAAGTCCTCACAGCCTTATCCATCACATTACAGGACCAGCACCTAAACCACAAAGGCATGTGTTTTCACGCTGACGGGGGCCCAACAAAAACATTACAACAGCATTTATATAGGAAGGAAGATGGCCAGCAAATTAAATGGTACCTGGTACTTACACACCTGGGGGGCTTTGGGATGTTTGAATATATTTGCTCTTTTGTTTCCCTTTTACTTTTTGAGCAGCTGCTTGCAATAGGATTTGCTGTGGTTACTGCCACTACAGGGCTGGTCTGAAGTAGCCCTCATCTTTTCATTAAACATTTTAAAAGGGCAGGGAAAATATCATTATGGTGAGTTTTGGTAGATCTGTTTGCTGGTGTTTAATACACTGCCTCATTTGGATCATAGAAGTGTAAATGGCTAAATGTATTTGGACAAATTTTGGTAATCTATTGAAATGAACAAGCGCTGTCCTGGCTGCCCTGTGTGCTGAGCACCTTCTTTGTGGAAGTTGCAGGAATTGAGGGTGCTCAGTGCCTTGCAGGATGAGCTCTTCAGCTAAAGTAACTAAATGAATAGAAATATACTGGATTTGAAAACTGTACAGAGAAGCTCTCCTTTGGTAAAGAAACTGATAATTTAACTTGCAAGTGATGAATCAGTAAATGCATTGGATGAAGGTGCACTTGGTTCCAACATCACACAAATTCAGCATCTCAGTATTGTTTTTAGAATAAGGTAAACTCAATGGAGAGACAATCTCTTGTAAATTTGTCTCAGGATTTTTCCTATGCTCATCATCTCTTTGTTTCAACGTAGGACTGGGATCAGCACATTAAGGGAAGTCTTCACATCCAAAAATGTATGGCTTTTTCAGATAAGTAAGTATTATTTTAGAGACACTTCTCCAACTGAATTTCTAACAGAGCATCCCTTACTTCAGTGGCTTTACACCGGGAATTCACTGTATAATGATTAAGCTTTAATATTTACGGCACATTATGCATGCTTCTAAAGTTCTTTTCTTTCTTTTCCAGCACTGGTATCCGGTGTGTGTTAAGCACAGGAGATGGAACATTGCATTTATCACCAAATAATGCAGCAGTTTTCAATCCATCTAGTATCGAAGGTGAATGGTTGTATGTGTAATAGTTAAGAACACTTTTTCTTTTAATTGAAAGGGAAGTGTCAGTCTCTGGGGAAAAGTGGACATTTAAAATGAAATGTGATACAAGTTTTCAAGGAAAACTTTTTAGAAGTTGTGCACAGAAGGGGTAAAAGCCATTACTGTGCCTTTCAAAGTATGAATTTCTTTTTCTTTCAAACAATGACTTGTTTTCACAGTACAACAAAATAGTGTATAATTTGTGTAGAGACTATGAAATTAATTATTATGTAAATGGGGCATTGCTTACTGAGCATACTAATACAATTAATATGAGTCAAGATTTTAATGAAATGTGTGTAATTCATTATTTAGATTTCCCACCAAATGTCGGCTCATCTTTTATCACTGCATCAGCAAGATCCTTTGGCCAGCCAGGTTCTACATTTTCTTCTCCTCCATCAGGGGTAAGAGTGAGTACCTAAGCAAATTGATCTCCGTGTCAACATTCTTGTAGAAGCCACTTCTGCTTACTAGAATGAAATCCCTGAAGGCTTCCTTTTAGATAATAATCTGGATATTCAGCCTGTTATTTCAACTTCCCTGCAGCAATTTTATGCTTTTGATTTTGGCCAAATCAGAACTCGATTGCAGGGTTTTTTTTTTTCCCAATGCTAAAAGTTGTTTGTTTTTTAGAGATTTGAGGAGGCAGGTAAATGGTTTTGTGTGTCTCTCATTGACTTTCCCCACCATTTTCTGAGCCTTTTCAACCCAGGAAGGTCAGCTTTGGCTTGGAAGGAAAATTTGGATTAGTTTTCACTTACTCTGAATATTGCTCCCAGCAAGCATCTCTCCAGTTATTTGTTTGTAGCCATTGCTCTCTGCCTCTCCCATGCTGGAGTCCTTTTCCCAGGTAGCAATAGTGGCAAAGACAGTGCTGCAGCTTCACTGTTACTCACCTGGGGGGGCCCAGATCAATTCATTATACTGGATTAACTTTTTCTTAGCTTATTTTAGTGTACTGTTTATATCATTTGCTGCCACTGGTAACCTTTCAGCAAGTTTGCTTTGGTGCACAGCATTCCATGGTTCATATTTATTAGCCCCACACACACATGTTCAAGACAGGCCCCCAGTTACATTGCTCCAAAGTACACTTGAATTCTTAGCCCTGTAATCAAAAAATGCCAGAGAAAAAAAAAAAGGATAACATTAAAAGTGGTTCTTACACTGATAAAGCAGAAAGATTTTAGGAGGGGAAAAAAAACAAAAACAAAAAAAAACCAAAAAAAAAGCCAGGGAAAAAAAACAAATAAAAGCAAATCATGGAAATACAAAGTTGTTGGGGTTAAAATGAAGCTCGACATATATTGGATTAAAGCTGGAGACATCAAGGACTCATGTTAGGGTGTTCATGGAATAGCAGTAATAATCCAGGGCTGTAAGTTTTCACTTGATAGCTTTTGTGTATTTATCCTGACGTGGTCTCAAACGCCCTGGAAAACCAGGCTGAGTTGTGTCCCTTTGCCACTCCAGTTCACATCAGGCCTTGCTTATGGAAACATCACCCAGATTTGTATAATCCAGCCAATTTTTTCCTGGGACAGAGGTTATTTGAAGGGGTTTTATCTTCTGCCCGTCACAGACACTGTGTGTGCAGGGGAGCAAAGAGCAGAGCTGCTCATGACGGCTGCCTCCAAGGTCAGAGGTGGAGTAGCAGCGGGTGTGGAGGAATTTTCCTTTTCATCATGTCTGTCAGCCTTGCAACAAATGAAATTACTGCTAATGCCAGTATCATTTCTCCTTAGAATCTGTCACTATTTATCATTTAAGCTGCTTGCAGAAGTGCTCTGTCTGAATGACCTGTGATACTATGAGAGATAAAAGAAACAATAATTTTGATTTTGCTGGGGGCTGTAAATCCTCTTTTTCTTCAGAAGCTCATTGGGTGGACAGGGAGCTATATTAGAGGTGTTAAGATTCAGTTTGCCAGCTGTCATTCACCCACAACCCAGGTGGCTTGTAATTTATTACACCTTTGCACGGTAGTATTCACTTTCAGCTAAGCTGATGCCATTTAATCTCTCCAGTGGGAGATTATACTTGACCCTGCATGTAATCATAAACAAAGTGTTCAGATTTCTGGAAGAGCTTGCTCTGTGCTACCCGTCTGCAAATAACTCTATCCCTCTTCAAAAGGCGAGTACCGTGCTACAAGTCTTCACTCGGGCACGGAGAGACATTAGCACTGGAGGGATGGGACTGTCACTGTCTTATTATCTTTAGAAAAAATCCATGTGAGGCTCAAGAAGGGGATAAGGAACTTAAAAAGCAAAAAAAAAATAAAAAAAAATTGGGAGAAATAAAAATCTGTAATAAAAATTCACCAACTTGGCTGGTGAAATAAGATGACAATGCATTTCACTGCTGTGTATCAAATTGTTTTTGTAGTAGTTGTCCAACTGCATTGGTAATCTCTGTAGTCATTTGTTGAAGAGAAAGTTAACTTAAGAGTCTTATAAAAAACTGCATTCAACACTTGACACACAACAGCTCCTCTAACTTCCAGACTGTGGATACGGAAGGTGTATATTCCTTTTCTGGCTGTGATTTACAGCCCTATTTAATGAATGGATCCAATTTAACTTCAATCAGCTGACAAGATTATTGCTGGGTACAGCCCATTGACTTCTGGTATGAGTATGTGACCACTTCTTAACCATGAATTACAGCAGATTTATGGCGTAGCATTTTAATTTAAGCTATTGCCAGTTGTGGGGAGGTGGTAACATCTTAACATGGTTTGATTTAATGTACTGCTGAACGCGTGTCCGAACACGGGCTCTGGAGCCTACAGAGGGAACAGCGAAATCTTTCTGGTTCCAGAGACTCTTAACATGCCATCTCTTAACAGATCTAACAAAACAAACAGAAGTGCAACTGGTGACCTGGGGTGTTCCTACACTGGGATTGCATTTGCTGTCGGGAAGGTTTCCTTTTTCCCCAATGGCTGTAGTTGTATTCCTCTGCTGCCTTGCCAGATGCACACAGCCATCACTTCCTTTTCTGTTCCAGTGGAGTAGAGTTGCTTCATCTTTTTCAGGATCAGGTCTTTGTTATTCTTCTGCTAAAGAAAATATCTTCTGGAGTTGGGCACTTCTTTGACCTACCTTATGCACCTGGGCAGGCTCTGTCAGATGCAAGCTAAATAGCAGACCACTGTATAACATAGGGTCTTGCTGCAGCAAAATACACCAGTGGTTAAGTGGTGAAGCCTGGAGGGAAAGTAATGGGATGAAGGTGTAAATAAGATAACATTAGCTCTGTAACTTGTGAACTTGCTGACAAGCCAAACATTTGTGATGGCTCTGGTGAACTTGATCCCACAAGATTAGGTGATTTGCATCTTCCCTTGAATGGCACAATTTTAACTGAAGGTAGAGTTACTTCTTCAGTAAAATCCTAACAGCAGAGGTCATAAACAGGGAAGTAGTCTGGGAAGACTTAATCCTGTGTGAGCAATGTTTCACGTGCCATTAGCTGGGGTAAATTATGTTCCTCTCTGCGTATATCCCAATGCCTCTTTGCACAAGAAGTGCAGAGCCTGTTTTCCACGTCAGGGAGATGGGCAGCTCTTTGGGAACTGCCCCAGCACTCCAAAATAGACTTCCACTCTTGGGAAGTGATTACTGCACCGACACTGTGTGCCTGTGCCAGCCCACTTTGGGAGCCCTGCCTCTCTGTCTGTCCAGTGGTCACTATTCCCCCAGGGGAAAAGTCCCTCCTACTGCGTGTTGTTGCAATGAGAGGGGAAAGTAGTAGGTTTTCCAACCTGAGGTACAGCTGTGACATGCTAGGGAGCTGAAACCCTGGAGTCCATCAGGTTTGAGGTGGCTAGTTGGTTTTGGCAGCAATATTGTTAGTCCTGTTTGAACGAGATCATCTATTCAAGAAATCCTCTCCACTTTGTAATGTCCAGGGACGGAGACTCCCTTGCAAGCTGCACTGCAGTTAAACATTCCCCTTCCCGTTTGTATTTCTAAACCAGGATGTTAAAATACTAGGTTTTACAGAAGCATATTTTCCTTAATAACAGGTACGCAGAACAGAACATTTCATTTTTTGCAAAAATGTAAGGTCTTATCTAGCCGATGGATTGTCTAAGATTAAAACATTGTTTTGAGTTGTTTTTTTCCCCAGTTTCCCCAGAGGAAATCTACACTGGGTCGAGTTGTTCACATCTGCAACCTCCCCGAGGGAAGCTGCACAGAGAATGATGTCATTAACCTGGGCCTCCCGTTTGGGAAGGTCACCAACTACATCCTCATGAAATCCACTAATCAGGTACTGTGCATTTGGGGTATTGATGTCTAATAAAGACATACTGAGATGAAAACAGAATCTTTGGGGAAAATAGCCTGAGGGTTTTTGTAATAGAAACTTAAATATATGAATATATAAAGTAAAAAAATAAGAAGGTGTTCACGGAATGAGGTGATGGCATAAACATGACCACTGCCTCCGCACCAGTGAGGAAGTGAGGGAAAGGTAATATTTTCATATATCAAGAAAGATTAGATTCCAGTCATTTAGTTTTTAACTAAACCAGCTTCTAAAGTTGCTTATCAGCTTTATTAGCTGGGTTGAAACCATTATTTGCAGTTAAAAGGAGGCTGAGCAATGGACTCCAGGGCTGGAAAGGTACCCAGTTCCGTACTACTGAGACATTTTGCATGAGAAGAATCCAAATGAAAATTATTGGGCTGCTTTTTCTCTCTTATACTTTGTATTTATGTAGTAGATTTTAAAGCTCTCCCCATTTGTGCTAGGCCTTTCTGGAAATGGCTTACAGTGAAGCAGCACAAGCCATGGTGCAGTACTACAAAGAAAAACCTGCTATGATAAACGATGACAAGTTACTTATTAGGATGTCTAAAAGATACAAGGAATTGCAGCTGAAGGTAAGATAGTAATCCTGATCAGATTTCCTGAGTTTCCATGTGATGTCTGGAAAATCTATCTAAAAATCTTTGCCAATTACTGCTTTCTAATTAATGCTTTAATATTATGGAAAAAAATAATAAAGATAAATTAATGAATGTATATTAATGATCCTTTATACTTAGCTGCTTGCTCTTGGAAAAGATTCCATTTTCTTTTGACCTCTTACACCATTATTTAAAAAATCCCTTCTGAGCTTCCTTCTGATCAGGCTCCCCACATTGCTTGATCCAACAAAGGTCTGAAACACAGAGCCATGTGTAAGTTGCAACATGTCAGCAAAATGAAGGTGGTCCTATCCTTTTAGTCAGGCATTAAGCCTGAAGTGATGCTTTTCACTGCTTCTATGCTTGAGCCATAGCACAATGCAATACCCAGGAGTGATGGCAGGGCTAAACATCACACTGATTTCTTTTTTGTTCTTTCTTGTGAATGACCTAAATTAAAAAGCAAGATTTTTTTATTTTTGATGTAGAGTCAGAACAGAGCAATAGTCTTTGGACTTCACATCACACTTCTGATGTGAACACCTGAGTGATGTCCAAAAAAGAGGGTTCTTGGGAGCGTATTTATGGAAGCTTATTTAATGCCACGTGTAATGCTAAGAGTATTTTTTTTCATGGAGATTTGGACTGGAACTGGCAATGCAGAGCTGAAAAGCTTCAAACTGTATTATCTAACACAGCACAAAGTTGTTTTATAAAATAACATGCCAAGTTAAGAGTTTAAGGGGCCTTTTACGAGCCTTCAGGAAAAACAAGTAACTCAGATGGTTTGGTTTGACCTTTGGAAAAGCCTCTTTCTCTCCTGTACGTGTATAATAGCTTAAGAACACTTAAGGGAGTTGCCAAAAGTCCAGAAACCAGGGCAGTGTTTCTTGGTGTGGTGGTGAGGGGTTCGGATGTAAGGTGGTGGAGCCTGTGCATCTTAACATAGAGACAGAAGAGTGTGGGAGTTTGCCTAGACTTCAGGAAGATTGTCAGCCTTTCCAGTGGCAGTTTTTCAGGTCATGGCATTATTTTTCTTTGCACAAGCAAACGCCCTTTCTCGTTGTTAAGAACAAACAAACAAACAAACAGAAGTGCAAGATGGAAGGGGGAATATGCATGAGCTATTTACCACTACACACTGCTCTGAGTTCCTGCATGATTATGTTGCTCAGCTCTGCATGCTCCAAGTGTTTGTCGAATTGCCTGCACTCCAGCCTGGAGCAGCACATCTTTTGTAAAGGATCTTGAACCTCAAGTAATTAGCGCTTCCTCTATGCATCTCTCTTGCACTTAGCTTTTCTGAAGCTCGTGTCTAAACATAGTCTCTTAGAGCTGCACTCCAGAATGAGCTAAACTCTGAGACGAAGAGAAGGCAGTTCAATCCTAGAGGGTCAGAGAAAGTCTGCTATACATAATTTTTCTAATATCTGAATTAAATATCTGATTTGTTTCCTCTTATATCCAATTTCTAGAAAATACTCTGTAGTGAATGCGTGTCAGGGAAGTACAAGGTAGTTTTCAAAGCCTGTTACAGCAGCCACATGTGGGGAGAAAGTGCTACAATGTAATGGAGCAAATTTTCCGTTTGCATCATTTTACTGCTTTGATCATGTTATTGAGATACCAGCTGCAGAAAAGACTGTAACCACAACACTGAAACCAAATATTTCCTCAGTAGTAGTAGAATTAAATGATGCAGGGATGTTGTTTCTTGAAGGACAAATCACCTACGCTAGCTTGGAGAGCACTGCAGCATGCTAAACAGTGTCTTTGTCTTATTTAGAAACCAGGTAAGAACGTGGCTGCCATCATCCAGGACATCCACTCACAGAGGGAGAGGGACCTGCTGCGTGAAGTGGACAGGTAAAGTTTCTCCATAGTTTGGAACTGGGACCTGGATAAGTCTGTAAACCTACAGGTAGAAAAAGCATTATCTGCGTGCTTCCCTCTATCTCATTTGCTTTCTTAATTTGGATTTCACTTCAAATCCCTGTAAAAATGTAAGTGGGTTCAATAGTAGGTGCAGGGCCTATATGATGAGATCAGATTAAAACCGTGCGTGTTATGAAAATAACTGAACTCTTTCCTACGGATGATGATGACTCAGAAAATGCACCTGGCATGTGAAGAACACACAAATGAAGCCCTTCTCCTCCCCTCCCTCTTGAGTGAAAAGAGCAAAGGCTGGGAGTGTTGCGAGACCTAGAGGGAAGGAGCTGGTTCACATTACAATGTATTTGGGTGTATTTCTGATCTGCCTGGCTTCTGGACCTTCCAGTAAAAATGGAGAGGCATCGGAGTCCTAAAACATCTTTTTTAAAGAGGTGACCTTCGTCACTTTTTTCTCGGCGATACCCTAGATGAGTGAGTATTAAGGGTACAGACATTAGGGTCATTGTAAAGGTATTAATGTATTACAAGCTTTTAATGCTAAACCCCTATGAGATGCTTTTAAGAATGAATGACTATATTCTTGACAGATCTGTGGGGATTTAGTTGAGCTCTGTGGATATGACAATGCCTTTCCTCCCGTTCACTGTGTTTGCAGCTGTGCAGTGCATGTCTGTGAAAGGCCTGGGGTCTCAGTTTGCAGTTCCTGTGTGTTTGCAGCATACAAAAAAAGGTGGTAGACCACAGTGGGTGAGCCAGTGACAGCTGTTTTTTCCCTCTGCAGCAGGTATGGCACGGAGAGGCCCCGCTCTCGCAGCCCCATAAGCCGCTCCCTGTCGCCCCGATCCCACACTCCCAGCTTTACTTCCTGCAGTTCACCCCACAGCCCCATGGGGACCGGCAGGACCGACTGGGGAAACGGGAGAGAGTCGTGGGATCAATCCCCCTATTCCCGACGGGAGGAGGAAAGAGACAGCAGAGAATGGCGAGAGAACGGGGATGAGAAGAGGGACAGGACTGACACGTGGGTACACGAGAGGAAACATTATTCCCGACAGCTGGACAAGTTTGATTTGGATGAACGGATCGAAGGAGGCAGAGGGCACAGAGATAAATATTTAAGGAGTGGTTCCCCTGGCTCCCTTCATCCTTTATCTGGCTACAAGAGCAGGGAAGATGACTATTACCGAAAAACCTCCAAGTCAAAATCTGACAAGTTTCAGAGGCAGCTGCAGGATTTACCTGGCAGGTCGAAGAGAAAGGAAGAGGCAAAGTCAAGGGAACGCAGGCATTCGTACAGCGAGGACACCGCCAGGGAGGAGGGGACTGAACAGAAGCACAGCAAAGCGTCTGAGGGCTCCAGGCAAAAACAAAGTGATAAGAATAAGGCCAAGAAAGCTGAAAAAGACCAAGAGGAAGATGCTGCTGCTGAAGGCAGTGATGTGAAGGAAACCAAACCTCCCGAGAATGAGGTAAACAGAGCTCTCAAACTATATGTAAGAAGAAGGTAAACGCCGGAGTAATATAATTTCTCAAATATTTTAGATCACTTGCTGTGGGTGTGGTGCTGGTGACATGCAGTATTTTGCCATGGTAAAATCTGGGAATATAGCCCTGGAAGAGATCTTGGGAGGTCATTTTGTCTGTCTTTGTCCAGATTTTGAGGGAAAGGGAACAGACAGCTCCCAACAAAACCAGGCAACAGTCTGATGTTTGCACACAGGTTGTGTGTGCAGAGGCAGTTGCCCTACTGCTCTCTCTTCTAAGTCTGCGCAGAATGCCCTGTAGCTGCTCTCTCTGCATCCATCACCTCCTTCCACTACCTGTGATGTGGATTAAGTTATTTGGGGATTAAGTGGTATTTTACAGGGATGTGCAATATTTGTAGGACAACACAGGGAACTGGTTGTTATACCGCTAAAACGGGGAGTGAACTTTTAACGAGGAACATTTTGTCTTTGGTCAACTCAACAGAAGAATTGGCTTTTATTAATCCTATGTCCCTACCCTCAGCTCTGGCAGGGATAATTCACACCACTCCCTTCAATGTGCTGTCTCCAGGAGTCTTTTCCCATGACAGAACTGCTGAATTGGCTCACTGAAATTATGGGATCTCTGGAGAAATAGTCCCAGTTGGTAACGTGGCAGCGTTTGTGGGTTTGATTTTTCACTGGGAAAAAGCAGAGAGGGAACAGACCAGTCTGCCTCACTCAGCCAGTCCCAGTAGAGCCCATGCTCATATCCCCACCCTACGGGGATCCTGTTACTGGCCCTTGGCCACCGTGCCTCCCCCAGGCCCCCCTGGTGATACACGGCTGCCATCCACCCCCGGAGATGCTGGCACGGGAGGCTGCAGAGCTGCTTTGCTGCCCAGGGGTCCATCTCTAGCTTGTGACTTTGTGCTGCCAGGGCCATCTTTGGTTGTTTTCAGTTGACCTTGTGTTTGTTCTTGTGCGGGGGCAAGGTTGGTGGAAATGTCTAGATCTTGTAACTCAGCTAGTCTCTGTGTCAGGCAGCAGCACTACCTCATGCCATAGATATGTGTGGCTGTACCACCTTTTTTCCTCCTTCTCCTTTGGCTGGTATTTCACTGTGATGGATGGTTCCTTGGGAGGAGATGTCAGACTGAAATGTCAGACAGCATCCTAAATCACCAGCGTTGCACACTCCTCTGCGTGTTTTTCAAGTTATTTTAAAGTTGCTTTGTTAAAGGCACACCTCTGCAGGGACTACTGCTAATAATTTATCTTAAAAGGAAGAAACAGGTTTGAATGTCTTGAACTCACTCTTTTGCTTCATCCCTCTTTCACCAAGTGCCAGGTAGTACTGTGGCAGTACTTCCAAAGTATGAACTCTGCGAGCAGTTGCATTCTCAACTGATCCTACTTCAATAAACAAAACAGTTGAGGTCTTTTGCAGAGTTTTAACACTGCTGCTCTCCTCACCATATCTGAGCCAACATAACAGTTGTGGGTAGAGAACAGAGGGGTGGAGGCTGGAAATTTTAACGAATTCACATTCTCCCCCACCTGTCTTCTAGCCAATTCTATGATGTGAGTTACACCTCTCTAATTTTGTTGCACTTTTCTCAATTCTTATTTGTGCAGCTTTGCTAACGGAATCCAATTCTTGGGTCTTTTCCCACAGCCCAGTTGACTTGCATAAACTTTAGAAATAAAGAATGTGACCTTGTGGTGACTTTGTTTCCCTAAACCCAGAATAGAAACATAATAGAGCACCACTGTGTGTTGCCATACGTGTGTATGTTGTATTTATTTTAGCTTGGAAAAGAGGAGCAACTTCCAGAGAAGAGCTCACCTTCAGCTAATAAACAAGGAAAAGAATCTGGAGAGATTCTGGAAAACACAAGAAAAGAGAAGGTTGGTGACACGTTGTTGGTGCAGCTTCCACGACAAAATGAGTGAAACCCCAGGTTTGGTAGCACATTCTCCCAACTGAAATATTAAACCCCCATGGAAAGACACGTAAAGGGGTTGTGGGGGGGGTTGTCTAAATTACCTTGCCTTATCTTGACCTCTGCAATAAGGGATAGCTTTTCCTGAAGTCTTCAGAACTCTTTTTTTAGTTGCTCTTTGCCCATGTACATTGCTTCACATGCATTGCCCTTGGCACTGGCAACTGTAATGCATGCCCAAGCGAACCGTGGAACTTTGTGAACCGTGCCCAAAAATAGGAGTTGTGGTCAGTTAGTGGAGGAGGAGGGGACTAACGATGAAAACTTTTTCAGAACATTGGCCTTAGATGGACTAGAGATAGTAGCCTCTTCTGATTGTTTCTGGTTTTAATTAAATAGTGTCTTTACAGCAGCCCTACTGCAGCATCGCAGTCGGGGACAGCAATGTCCTTGGAATTCCTCCAGCTTCATATCTGTAGGGTCATGGGTTGATGGTCAGATATGGAAGCTATTGATATCTGTTGCTGTAGAAAACTGATCTCCTGGCAAGAACAGTGTCAACTCCCAGAGTTTTCGTGCTGTTTCAGGATTCTAGGAGGGGAAGTATGGGAATGGCCAAACAGGAGGAGAATACAGATTATTAATAGATTATGTGTACACGATGAGTCTGGGAGTTGAAATCTAAGCTGCAAGTGTGTCTTAAAAGTAACATATACCTTATAATTCTAATACTTCTTAAGTCCAGTATTAGTGTCTGAGTCCTATAAGTCTTAACTGCATGTATGAGCTATTTCAGATAATGTACCTTGGAGTATAACGGTAAAACTGATTTTTCTTAAGGTCTAGGCCAATCTCTACCAACACAGTCCCTGGCAGAGGGCTCTTGCTGGTGGAAGGAAATGACTGCAGAAGGTAGCCACATTTTCTCAGTCAGTGTAGGAATGTAGAGGACCCAGTCCAGCCAAGCAAAAGCCATAATGGCTAGACTGGGGTTCAGTATGTTCTCATTGTGCTGCCTATTTCTTGCCACCCTGGGATGGAGGTAGAGAGAGAGGTTTGTTTCCTTGGGGATCAGATCACATAGTAGCACCAGCTGCATAATAAAGCATAACAGGTTGTGCCTTGTTCTACTGACTACAGAAAAGCAAGAATCAGGAGACTGGAGAGACTGCAATCCCCAAGGCAGTTACAGGATCTCCACAAAGAGATATATACTCCACAAAGAGTTTATATGATAATTAAAAAGATTGCTTGTCCTTGTGCATAAGGTTTAAAATCACAACACCAAGGCACATTGTTCTTTGAAACTAAAATAGAAGAGGGGTTAGGCATGGCCAGATCAAAGTTATTCCTGGTTACTGATGTTCAAAGCTCATTTTTTAACAGTGATGATCTATAATCACTGCTCTCTCAAATGTTTTACATCTTCGTGACAGGACCGAGACTGGGAGAGTGGAAGTGAGATAGAAGGTGAGACCTGGTACCCTGCTAACATGGAGGAATTAGTGACAGTAGATGAAGTGGGAGAAGATGATTTAATTATGGAGCCCGATATAACTGAGCTTGAAGAAATAGTACCAGTTGATCAAAAAAATAAAAGTGCTTCAGAGATGTGTCCCTGTATGTCAGCCATGCTGGAACTGAAAAACGATCACAGCCACTTAACCAGGAGTGAAGACAAATTTGCCCATAAAGCTTTAGAAACAAACTTCAGATCAGCAAAGGGCAGCGTAGCTTCTAGCGGCTGTCAGGATGATGAGGAGGATGATGATAACGAAGATGCTGTAACTGAAGCATCAAGCCTAAATCTGGACCCTGAGCAGAAGCCAGGAGAATTGCGGGAAGACCAATCTGCTAAGGAGACTGATCCCCAGCAGAAGGAAGGAAAAATTGATAAGAGCTCTGACACTCGTTTAGAGCCTGAAGATCACCATATACCTTCTGTTCATCTGAAAGAAGAGACTCTCCAGCTCCCTGATACATTTATAGATGATTACAAACAGATGGGATCACAAGGAGCCGAGAGCAGAGAAGTTATGGAAATGCTTGTTAAAAATGCTAGTGAAGAAACAAGACACGGAAGCCAAGAGTGTCCAGAGGCCAAGGGTAACTACTGTTTTTTTTCCTTTTCAGCCTGCAGAGAGCCTTGCATGTTTTCTCTGACAGTAGACTGAAATTTATTGCTAACAAGCATAAATGTTGCTAATGGTATCAAGACTTGTCCTTGGAGCGGCTCAGTAAAAGAACCCCAGTGCCTTTCGCCAAACTAAACCATTAGAGGCTCTTAGCTGAATAGTGTAAAGGAAATATGATAAGCAACTTGCAAGCTTTCTGAAAGGCATAAGCTGCTATAATTGTCATGTCAAGGTTCACATGAGTTTAGCTGAACCACTTTCAGTGCCCTGCTAAATTTATTTTGAATTGTCAATGAATTGAGTGACAGTCTCTGAAGGTCAGCAGAAAAGTGTCTGTAGTGTCTGGCTGGCTGCTGGACAAGGCGGGTATTCTTACCCACTGTACTGAAGCCTTGGTAACATGGAAATCATCCCTAGATTGTTACTTCTCAGTCCCTGTTCACACAAATATGTGCCTTTTGTCAGGACTTGCCTTATCATCTCCTGCTATCTACCGCACGCTGCCTTTAATGTAACTGTAGGACATCCTGTGAGATAATGCCAATAAATGTAATCATAGCTGCCTGTTAATATTTTAGGTGTCAGGAGAAAAAATGATCTTGAGTGTCTGAAAGGGAGTTCAGTTTCTCGTCACGCTTTCAAATGAAACTTGAGCGAACGGGCTGTGTTTAATGAACGGAAGTGGAAAACAATATAGAACATGTTGGCCAGGAATGTTCTTTTTTATTGCTACCGCAGCCCATGTGATGGAGAAGGGTTTGTGCACAGAAGTTGCTGGAATATTTTTGAGGTTGCAATTTTCCACCAGTAAAGGCTGGAACATTTTATGTGAACGTCTTGATTTTTGAACTAAGAGATTCGAAATTCGCTCGGTTTTCAATAGTTACCTGTTTGGCCTGAAGAGATGCCTTTCCAGGCTTTGTGTGTTTGGAGATAACGCTGCCATGCAAATTCCCTGGGCCTGGGGATGGCAAGGTCAGCTCTCCTGGGCTGCCCACTTCACGGAAGCCAGCTGATGGAAGAGCTGGGTATCCCAAGAGCATAGTTACTTGGGTGTTTTCAGCTTCCAACTTGCCAGCAGGGAGCCTGGAAGCTCCAGGGGAGCTTGTGCTTCCCAGGTTTCTGCCATGGACTCCATACCTGGGATCTGCAGTGCAGGGCTCTGGGCTCTCTGCAGAGGCATCTGCCAGCTCAGAGGCCCAGAAATCAATTTAAGTGGGACTTAAGTTGCCACAAAGGCCCTGGGGGTCTTAAGAAGAGCTAACTAAAGCTTGAGGGTTTTCCAGGATCTCTGCTGCAGATTTGGAAACCTGGGATGGTTAACTTGAAAGCCAAGCAGTCAGGATTTTATATTATTTTCTTTTGAATCACGCAATAGAGGTATTTAAAACAATGAAGAAAAATTCATTCTCATAGCCAGAAATTGCAGATCTTTGAACTACAGACTTGAAAGGCAGGAAGGGTTTGGTTTGAGAAAAAATATATTTGTTTTATGAGAAAATATATCCCTTATCTAGGCGAAATTTGCAATGCAATAGAAATTTTGTCAGGGTAAGGGAACTAGTTCTTTGATGTAAGAACTGAAGAATAGGAATCAGACCAGTTTATGTGTAATTCTGTTGCTCTTTGATAACAAATTCCTCTTTTTCGAAATAAAAGCAATTCCCATGTTGGGAAAGGAGAGCATCTGTTCTTTTGACTGGCTTTATCTGCCTCAGCAAATCAATCCACTGTTTTCCACACCTTGAATCTCCTGCTCGTGTCCATTAATGTTGGTCAGCAGGTTCCAGCCATCCCATCCCTCCTGGCCAGGAACCAAAATCTTCAAGTGGCCGAGAGCCATAAAGCAGAAACTATCCCTTTGGAGACCTGAGGGTGGGAGAAGATGACAATGGTGCTGCAGGGATCCTACCAGAGGAAGGTTTGCTCTGCCCACACAGCTCCTGAGGCAGTTTGGAGATTTGCTCTCAGCAGGTCCTGGTGCCCCCTCTTTCTCAGCAGCTTCTGTGCAAGCCCAGCTCCATCACTGGTCAGGCAATACCATACATGATTATGGAGCTGCATTCAGACCGTGTGTGTATAATGTTATAGAGCTGTTTAGAGATTAAAGTATGAAAAGAAAAACCATAATGAACATGAAATTAGAAATAGAAAAATGGTCTGCTGGGAGAAACAGAGGTGACTGCCCAGTGGGGTACAGTTGTTGGAGTTGCACTGATTTGAATGGAAAAGCATTTTTTTTTCCCCCAGATTTTACTTCATTTATAGATCCACCCAGAAAGCGTTCCCAAGAAGTTTACAGATGTCTCTTTAAACTAATAAACTGTTTTGCTTCAATACATTTATTCATTTGTTAAGCAAATTCTAGGTACCTGGAAATGAGATCTCTGGAATACCCGGAGGTAGAGTCTAAGAGAAGGCACTCTCCGCCAGGCTGGGAACAGGAGGACGTCTTCACCGAGCTCAGCATCCCCCTGGGTACGGCCACACACCCCCTCTGCCTGCCTGCCCACTGCAATACCTCGAGCTTACAACAAGATGTCACTTTAAGGCTATTGGCTATATTTATTTTTCAGAACAGATGTGAGGAGGGTGGAGGAACAGGGTTTACGACAGAGGGGTGGCTGTTGAAAGAAACGGCCTTTTGATTATAGATCATCGCCAATTTCATTCCAGACGAACGGTAAAAGATAGCTTGTTAGTGTCTCTGATGAGATGAAATAAATTCCCTGGGACTATATGTGAAATGTATGTGAAAAATACGTAGTAATTTAAAAGCCTTTGTCGTAAAAGTATTGATTATACTTTCAGTATAAGTAAAAGTATTGGTTTTACCGTGTAAACACTGATCATGAGTAAAACACCTGGAAGAAGTACACCCTAAAGAGCAATCTGTGTAACTTAAGCATGAATTTTCTGCTAATAAGTACTATTGCTATTCTAGCCCTTGAGGTTGCACAGGGAACTTTCCAGTCAATATTATGCGCGAGAAGGTACATTTTTAAATATGTATAATATCTAAGAGAGAAGCAGAAGGTGTATTTGCAATGCACAGGACTTTAAGCTGCAGCTCAGTATTGCAAAATTAGGGAAATCAGAGAAGTGAATCCAGGACTCAGTCTTCATCTCTATGTCATTTAGCTAATCAGCAACTTTTTTTTCTTTGAAAACAAGTTTATTGTGGAGGGGAAGGGTTTCAACTGACGTTGTAATGTAATTCAGAATTTCTCAATAGGTGTGGAGTTCGTGGTGCCCAGAACTGGGTTTTACTGCAAGCTCTGCGGGCTCTTCTACACGAATGAAGAGACAGCAAAGACAAGTCACTGCAGAAGTACCGTCCACTACAAAAATCTTCAGGTAAAAAACACACTTGAAATGAGCTAACAACTAGCACATTGAGGGGATTGTAAGATAAAGGATGCAACAAAAAATTAGTTTTTATTCTATGGACAGAATTGAGACGAAGTGAAATTTAGATAAGCAAATCATTTCAGTACTTCCAAATGTTAGCCCGCTAATTTCTCATTCCCAGATCCTTGACATTAACTTCTGGATCATAAGTAAAATGGGGCCAGGTGAAAATTTGCCTTTCTCATCTACATTTGGTCCTTGTCACTATCACAGCATGCAACTCACATCTTTAATGCTCCGTTCTTGAAGGTCCCAGGTGTTTCTATCACTAGGAATGAGCCCAACAGCAGCCTTTCTTCCTTCTGAATTTCAAGAGCATCAAACCTGCCACTCGTTTAATGATGTTGCCAGAGTTACTTGTGCGTTAGGGTGGATTTCTGCAGCCTGTTTCAGCAGGCAGCGCTCTGCCACGCGCAGGCTCCGGGAGGCATTTCCTGTGACCCACTGACATCCCTCCCTGCGCTGCGCAGAACACCCCTACTGAGTCGTCCCTCTAAGGACGTGCAGAGGCACGTAATGACTGGTATGGTTTCCATAAGTATCCACCATAGGCACATCAGCACCTGGTAACAGCACACAGAGACCATGGGTGCTTGCAGTTCAAGCAAAAGAGCCCACCTTTATCACTGTTCAGATGCAGAGTTGATAGTATCAGTCATAACAGCATGAGTTTTCACTGCCCTGTGCTGAGGACTCCTCGAGGAGCCAAAGCCATGAAAGAGCAAATTGAAGCTGCTCCTTCTTTCTCTGTTCCTTCCCTCTGCCCTTAGTAAATACTGGAGCTCTGCTTCTCTTCAAAGCCTGTGCCTGCAGAGCTGTGATACTTGTTAATAGTGGAGCCTCCAAGTGTAAGCTTGAAAAGCAGGGGCATCCCTGCTAGTTTGCATCCCTGGTTTTGCTTCATACAAAAAAATCCAGGGGGATTCACCAACCAGAGGTGGCACCACTCGGTGAAGGCCATGTGTCCCATGTGAGGCTGTCCCAAAGAAACTTGTGCCAGAGCCAGGATTGCAACTCCAGCCCCTGCCCCTGGCAACTGCTCCCATGGGAAGAAAAGGGATTTTTTTTTCATTTTCTAAATGATTTTGTTAGTCATAGAAAAAACGGTCCAACTAAAGCTGAGTCAGTGTGAAAAACAACCTCTTTTTCTCCCCGTTAAGACATTTCCCATGAGCACTATGGTAGATATCTAACACTGACTTGAGATAAAAGAACAAAGACCACAAAAGCTGTTAAAATTAAATCCGTCAAATATGGTAATGAAAACAGAGTGTTCTGTCGAGCTGTACCTCTTATCTTACTAAATGGAGGAAGTAAATGTCTCATCCAACTTTTGCCCACTCAAGTGGAAACTCAGCAAATTTTAAATAATTGTTGTGTATTACTAGAACCCTTTCAGTTGCAATAATGCTTATTTATGCACTCTGCAAGAAATGTCAGTTTTCTCCTCTGACGATGCAATTTAATGAGAGTATCCACCACCATAACTACGGGCTCTAGTTTTTACTGTAGGTGAAGCTCTGGCTCTGACAGTCTTTCTGTCACTTTGCCTACATGGACAAATACCATTGTACAATGACAATGACATTTTCCCAAATGCTCTCATGGGTATTTTATAGTTGATTTGCTACTTGTCATTTTTCACGTGATTTCCTTGGAGCCACATCCAAAACAAATGTTCAGTGCTTGGATTTGAACACAAAACGAACCAGTTTGTGTACCAGTTTTCTTCCAAAAGCCTTGCTTAGATGATGAAGTCCTGAAATACAATACTCAGCTTCATCTGAGTATGGTGCCCCTTGAAGAACAGCAATCACTGAAAAAAAATCAACTGTTTCTTTGTCAGCCTTGCAGACTTTTTGTAATTTTCCATTCTCTTCAGCTTAATAAATTATTTTCCCAGGTGGTATTTATATTTACAGATCCACTGCATTCTCTGTGTCCAAAAATTCCATCATTTGGCCATCCCTCCCACCACTACCACAAAAAGCTGTCAGATTCATCTGGTGTAAGCTACCCTGGCAACTCAGTGCAGCATTTTACCCTGTTTTCTGTGGGCTTTTTGCAGTATTCATCAAAACTTGTATTTAAATGAAAAGAGAAACTTTTTCCTTAGCTGTCATTTTTCTATAAATTAGTCTGAATGCCTGGTCTGTGAACTGATGTTTGTGGTACTCATGGCAGCTGACAACGTCAGCTAAAGGTGGTGGGTAAACCTCAGCCTTATTTTGGTGGGTAATCATTAAAAAACAGAAATGCATGGGTTATCTGATCCAGTGACAAGCGTTTGTGGTTTACTACACTTTGTGGTGTATGGATCACTTCTCCCAGCTTTATGGGCCCTATATCTCTCTATAGTACTCTGATGTTTACTCTGGCTTTCTGCCACGTGGAATTTTGTACCCAAAAGGGATCAAGACTGAGAGTTGTGTAATTTCCACAGCCAAATCCCTATATTCAGAGGAACAAGGGTGCTGTCATCGTTACGTCGATGTTATGCCCATTCATTTTTTAGGTGTTACCCCCCCTTATATTTTTTTTTCATCCGCTTCTCGTTTCACCTCTTCCCTGTGGATGCCAAAGAGCAAACTGCACTCTGGGGGAATCCTGCAAGTAGATAAAATTTTGCGGTGATGTGAGATGGTCTTTTCAAAACAAATGAGAATGAGTAATCAGCTAGAAAATCAGCTAAGGGTTTTATGATCCTGATAATGTGCAAGTCAGTTGTTCCTGCATGTGATGTATGTGTAAGTCATTAATAAGAACAACTCTGCGTTACTGTGGGGGAATTTCCCACGTGTCTCTCTGCAGTAGCTGCTGCTGAAGAAGCTTCTTTCCATCCATTTCTAGCTCTGTTGACCTTGAATAAATCATTTGAGCAGCATTTTCAGACCCACACCAGTTCATCGTCCAGTTTGTGTGCAGCTCTGCCAAGCCAGGGCACTGCCAGAAGGCTGAAAGCCTCACTGGCCATGCCTGTATTTTTAAATCACACTGAGTACTTTAAAGCACTGAAAGGCTTTATCTTAGGGAAACACCATAAATGTAAGTACTCTAGCCAGACTGCTAAATTGTGTTAATTATTACCGAGTTTGATTATTCCCTTAAAACAAATGTTCCTGTGCAAAACGTATATCTTGGAACTGGATGTGCTGAAAAGGCAATATATATGCTTTAAATTGTGACTGAGAAACTGTTTCTATTTTCTGATACCACTCTTACACCAGTGTAACTCAGTTGACTCTATGGAGCCTCTACAGCTCTGTAGCACCTGGGAGTAGAGAGTTTGCAAGGAGAAAAGGTGAGGTCTGGTTACACAGACTGATGGGGAGTCACGGTCCTCCTGGTTCTGCTACCAGTTCCCCTTGCAGCACAGAGAAAATCACTGGCCTTTTGGGGCTCTCTGCATTACAGTAGTTTGCCTGCCACAGCTATTTTTACCTGGCTTGAATTTTTGTCAAAATTGGGCTTCTATGCATTTTCTTCCCTTCTGAGATGCTGGGAGAGTGTGAAAGCTCTGAAAAGGCATAAAGCATCCTGCGTTGAATATTTTCCGTTTCGGTAATGATGTTTTGTTTTTGTTGTTATTGCAGAAGTATCTATCCCAGCTTGCAGAAGAGAGCCTGAAAATGAAGGAAGAGGGCAGCCACCTGCCTCAGGATGACACTGGCATTGTTCCTCACTTTGCAAAGAAAAAGCTATGATGCAGATGAACTGGAAGAGCTATAATGAGTGAATGCTGATACCTTTTTTTTTTTTTTTTTTTTTTTTTTTTTTTTTATTTTTTTTTTTTTTTAACTTTTAAATGAAGTAACATCTACTCAGTTCCAAGAAACAGAACTTCACTGTCACATACTGTCCTTGTTTCAGCTGGGACAGAGTAAATTTACCTTCTAATGATTGCTATGTTTCAGATTTGGTATGAAATGAATGTCAATAAAGCATATTGTTTTCACTGTTGTTCAGTTATGTTTATACTATTCAAGGACTTTTTTCAGCTTCCCACAGAAGCTGAGAAGGAGCATAGATAGAACAGTGGCGTGGCCAATGCAATATTCCATACCATAGATGTCATGCTTGCTATACAAATGAAGGTTGGCCAGGAGACAGAAATTTGCAATCACTGCTCAGGAGGAGTTGGGCAACCAATTCACCAGGTGGTGAGAGTGACTTGTGTTGTATTACTTTATCTTGTATATTATTTTACCATTATTATTATTATTATTATTGTTATTTTCCTTTTTCTGTTAGTATTCTATTAAACTGTCTTTATCTCGACCCGTGAGGTTTTTTTCCCCTCCTTTTCTCCCTGCTCTTCTTTGAGGGAGGACTGTGCAAGAGGCTGCATGGTCCTAGCTCCCAGCTGGGGTTTAACCACAACACATACCCATTCTAGGATTTTATTTTTTATTTCAGAATTTCTGGATTGTGAAATGCATTATACATGACCGCTTATTACAGACAGCTTTATAGTTTGCCTCTTTGATTCCTTTCTGCTTTCTGAAATGCAAGACTAACTGTGCTATGAACTAGAAAAAGCTTGCAAATAAACGGAGTTGACCTTAGTTTTTTTTTTTTTTTTTTTTTTTTTTTTTTTAAATTATTTCTATGATATAACTGTCAATTTGCACTGTACAGAGGAGGGGAAATAAAGAGCATGTTCCATGCATCTATGCCCAGAGTGCCATTAAAAACCAAAATGCCTGAAACTGTTTCCCACGGTGAAGCAACGCTGGCATATCTGTAAGAAGTGGAGCAATTCTTTCTCACACTCTGCGTGCTGGGAGTGGTTTCCTAGATTAAATCAGAATTCTCAGGGATTCTTCAAGTTTTAATTCTGATGTAACACATCAGGTCAGGCGGAGTATTTAGAAGCGCTCAGCATCCTCCAGTGGACGCTGGAAGGAAAGGAGATGTGACTATAAATAGGCTTTAATGTTGCTTAAGATATCTTCAGCCGTTTCACTCATTGCCCCGGTGAGAAGTAGGATTTGCATAGGACATCTAAAGCCATTGTGCTAAAGCTAGTCAGTAGATGGCATAATCTCAACCCCATCAGCATCCACCTCCATGTGTCTTAGAGCTTGGTGAAATGATGAAATGTGTGTGTCGTTAAGCGCTGACCGTGCCGTGCGGGAGCGGAGGGAGCCACAGTCTGTCCCAGGGACCTCACAGCCTGAACCCAGAGCAGTTCCAGTACAGGCCAACCTCTCCCCCAGCATTTTCCATGGCGTGGCCAGGATGTTCTCCAGGTACCGTTTGTGTTTGAAACTCTTCTTTTTTGATAACTCCAAAGGGTGCCAACTTTGAGTCTTAACAGACTTGAAACTCTCACGAGAGGCTTTTTTTAAAGTGCCACATGTTCGGACCATGTCTCTTTTAGACATTTTACTCAAGATCCTTGCTTTTGGGGTCTTTTTTGTTTTCTTTCAAGCTTGCTTTTCCTCAGCTTGGCAGCGTTGAACTTTCCTGGTTTTCGTGGAAAGATGCCAGGCTTTTAATATTGTTTTTGTATTTTATTTCCCTGAATTTTTTAAGGTGAACACAACAACTGATGGCTCACAGGGTACTGCACTGAGAACACAGGATGCACCAGCAGCTCTGGCATTATTATGAACTATTGTTTCCGCACAGTTGTTGCTTAGTATTTTGCAGAGTCCCTTTGAAATGGACTGTACAAATTTCTGGTTCATTTCAATAGGGCTTTGTGTAGTAAAGTGAATATGTACCAAACGATTGCCAGAACTGATCCCAGAGTTATGCTTTTATAAAATGCCCCACGTAATCTGGACAGATGGGGATGTGCAGACGTATGTCTGTTCTTTGCCGGACTAATATCCATCACAGTATGTTACCTAAAAATTGCAGGTGCTGGATGTCCTGTTTAGATGTTGTGCAGAGGAAGTAGTTTCCCAGAAGGTTCTGGCCATCCCTACGAATGACAGGGATGTCGCAAAATATTGCAAAGTGGCTAAATTGCCAAAACTGCTTCCACCAAAGTATTCCTTCCAGTATGTCTCGTGCCAGCAGCGATGCTTGTTCTCTGAAGCACCCTGTGGCCAGGCAGCGTGTCTCAGAGGTGCCTGGTGCTGTTGCCTGAAGCCCTGTTCCATTTCATGGCCTGTGCTTTCCACTCGTTTTTTACCAGAGGTGGGTTCAGATTTCATATTTGGAATTCCTGCTTCTCGTAAGTTGAGGGATACTTTGCATCCCAGATTCAGATGTGGCCTGTCCAAAAGACAAGGGGAAATGAAAAACATTACAGCCTAAATCCTCCTTTGTCCAGACTTGAAGTATGTTAAGACTTGGGTCCATCTGTCATTTAAAACAGTGGGTTTTTTGGTTTTCCCTATGGAAAAAAAAAAAAGTAATACTATTTCAAACCAAGTATTTTTCCTTCAAGGGCTGGGTTTTTCTTTGACTCTTTGTTTTCCACATTGCAGCGAAATTTGAGCACGGGGCTGTTAGGGCAAGAGCTTGTATTGCACGCTGTAAGATTACGAAAACAGCAATAAAGGTTGTGCAATTGTCTTCTAAAGCACAGCTCTCCAGCTGGCCATGTATCATCTGAATATGAAGTTCCCTTCATGCCCTTCAGCACAACCTGAGCACAGGGAAGGAAATGCAAGCATCACATCTTTGAAGCTAACTCTGCTATCAAACTGGGGCTCTCACCGGCCTAATGGGAGCTTGTTAGACCATGTGGTTAGGCTTAATTGGATGTGAGACAGAGCTGACTGTATATCAAAGTCATGTGCCTCCAGCAGCTTTATCCCCAGGTAACCTCAAATGAGAAAAGTATCACTGTTATTATTCTTTATTTGGATTGCAGTAGAAGCTACGGGTCCACTGCCTGTATTATAGGCACGGCATAAATCCACAACAAAGACTTTCCCAGGCCAAAGAGCTTTAAATCAGACTTTCCAAAAACAGACAACAGGTGAATACAGGCAGGCAGGGAAGGCAGGAGGTAACCATCAGATTTTGACTGGCAGAATAATTAAAATGAGTGTTTACCCAGGGGCTTATTTTTGGATTTACGGGAGATGATTCAAGCTACTTTCCCCCTCCTCTGATTCCGAACCAGGTTCACTCCCATTATTCACAGCTTGCATAATTAACCTCCCTTTTTTTTTTTTTTCTGGCCAGCTGCATTAGACAGGAAAAGTCCCTTCTTGAGAGAGTGGGCCTTGGTATCCTTCAGTCCCCGGTGGCTTAAGTTTCGGTCTCCATCCGGGGTCCAGACACTGGAGTCTTGACTGAGGTGCACCAGGAACTGTCCTGGCTCCAGACACCTCGTTTGGGTCACGAGCACAGGCCCTTGCTTGCCACCGAGGAAGGAGGAGGCTGCAGATGGCATCTCTGCCCTGTGGAGTTTCCTTCTCTGGAGGGAGATGACTCAGGTGCCCAGCCCCACAGGAGTGATCAGACCCAGACGTTTGTAGAGGTGGTTTGGACACCCCGTCCCTTTGGGCTCTGTCCTGACACAACAGCAACCCGCAAAACCCTGGGTATGGCCAAACGGTCCTTTCTCCCCCTAAAACTCAACATTTGACAGCAGTTAAAAGCAATCCCAAGCCTCAACTAGCTATGAATGATCCCTAAGATCAGTTTTCGGCCTGATGCACTTTGAGAACTCAGAGATAATCTCCTTCCCTCTCCAACAGGCCGTCACGCAATGACAGGCACCCAACTCCTCAACTTCTCTCTACTACCTATTGTGCTGAGGAAGGAGCCACTGTAGGCATCGCTCACCTTCCTCAGCTTGTGTAAAAATGTGTTGTTTCTTTTGGTTTATTATATTTAAAATCTTGACTTTTTTTTTTAGTTGGCATAATTCATCATCACTATAATCCACGCTGTTTATTAATACGTATATATATATATATAGCACAAAGCAGGCTCAGGTCTAGCCAAACAAATATTGATATTTAAAAAGGAGCTTCCTTAATATATACAAATCATTTCGACACATCTCAACCAAAGATTGCACTTTTTGAATAGGGACAGCGTTTTTCATCTTTGTGAAATCTGTATTGGTCTCAAATAGTCTTTAATGTCAATCTGCAACTTACTTTCTTTGAAGTAAAAATTAAAAAAAAAATTAAACATTTGCCCCATAAGATCAGACAAAGATTCATATTGGCTTTAACACTAAATTAGTGTTAGGCTGGTTATATTCAGGGTTTTTCTATTCTGTAAGGATTAAGGCTGTGATTTGTTGAATTATACTTGAACTGGACCAGATGTACTATTTATTGAGCTTATATAATCTTGTTAATTTAAGTTTTGGCTTGTAAACAGTTGGAATTTGTTAGTACTTGTTTAATGATGTAGGAACTGTCACCAGTATTAACTGATCTGTGTAACTGATTGCAAAGTGTTTCAATTTGTGTTTCTTAAAAAGAAAGATTTTAATAAAGAGAATTATAAAGCGTATGTATTGGTGGGCAGTTGTCCCGGCAACAACGTGCTTCTGGCTTTCCAGGGGATCTATTAAAACCCCAAAATTAGTAAAAGATAGTTTGGGAGGTAACAAGGAAGCAGGAGGCAAAAATGTTTGCTTTTAAATATATTTTCTGGAAGTTGTGATTCTTCCCAGGTGGCTCCTGCCGTACAGATCGCAAGGGATGGCCGTCCTCCGGTGCTGACGTCGAAGTGAACACATCTCAGCAGTTCATTCTGTAATTACTATTAATTGTTATTACCCACTTCTGTCCCTCTAGATATGTCCTCACTTCCCTTTTTATTTCTGAATGAAGCTGTCTGTCCCCAC